TTTCTTGATGTTGGCTCTGCGCCTTCCAAGTCGCCCAGTCTTCTGTGTGCCCAGGGGGGAGTCTCTCATTTGGTATCAGCCATTGATTGAGGTTCTGCCACTTTTGGACTCTCGCTTGCTGGGGTGTTCCAGCGAGTGTCTCTGTAGATCTTAGAAAACTATGTCTTGATTTAAGTCGTTGATGTGCTGGCTGATACCCAAACAAAGGATGAGCTGGAGATGTCTCTGCCTTGGTCCTTTCACTATTGACTGCTACTTCCTGGTGGATGTCTGGTGGTGCAATGCTGGCTAAACAGTGTAATTTCTCCAGTAGTGTAGGGCACAGACACCCTGTGATAATGTGGCATGTCTCATTAAGAGCCACATCCACTGTTTTAGCATGGTGAGATGTGTTCCACACCGGGCGTGTCTATGTCCCACACCATTGGAGAAATTATACTGCTTAGCCAGGTATTGCACCACCTGACATCCGGCAGGAAGGAGCAGCCAATAATGAAAGGACCAAGGCAGTGACATCTTCAGCCCATCCTCTGTTCAGATATCATCCAGCATGCCAATGACGTAAATCAAGAAATAGCTTCCTAAGAACTACAGAGATACTTGCAGGAACACCTCAGCAAGCAAGAGTCCAAAAGTGGCAGGCAAAAACCCAGAACCTCAATCAGTGGTTGAGACTGGATGAGAAATTCCCCCTGGGCACACAGAAGACTGGGTGACCTGGAAGGTGCTGAACAGACTGTGGTCTGGCACCACGAGATGCAGAGCCAACCTTAAGAAATGGGGCCACAAAGTGGAGTCCACGACATGTAGGTGTGGAGAAGAGCAAACCACAGACCACTTGCTACAATGTGACCTGAGCCCTAACACATGCAAAATGGAGGAGCTTCTCACAGCAACACCAGAGGCACTCCAAGTGGGCAGCTTCTGGTTAAAGGACATTTAGCATAATGCCATAAACCCACCTTTGGGTCCTTCTTGCCTAAGAAAACCCTATACATTCATGGGAATCACCATAAGTCCACAGGTGACTTGAAGCCCCATCGCAAGAAAGTCTTAGTTCAGTGGTTCTCAACCTTCCTAATGCCGTGACCCCTTAATACAGTTCCTCATGTTGTGGTGACCGTCAACCATAACATTATTTTTGTTACTCCTTCATAACTGTAATTTTGCTATTGTTATGAATCGTGACGTAAATATCTGATATGCTGGATGTATTTTCATTCACTGGACCAAATTGGGCACAAATCCCCATTATGCCCAAATTGGAATACTGGTGGGGTTGAGGAGGGATTGATTTTGTCATTTGGGAGTTGTAGTTGCTGGGATTTATAGTTCACCTACAATCAAAGAGCATTCTGAACTCCACCAATGATGGAATTGAACCAAACTTGGCACACATAACTCCCATGACTAACAGAAAATAGACCTTGACATTTGGGAGTTGTAGTTGCTGGGATTTATAGTTCACCTACAATCAAAGAACATTCTGAACTCCACCAATGATGGAATTGAACCAAACTTGGCACATAGAACTCCCACGTCCAACAGAATATACTGGAAGGGTTTGGTGGGGGATTGATTTTGAGTTTTGGAGTTGTAGTTCACCTACATCCAGAGACCACTGTGGACTCAAACAATGGTGGATCTCGACCAAACTTGGTAGAGATACTTAATATGCCCAAATGTGAACACTGGTGGAGTTTTCAGGAAATAGACCTTGACATTTGGTAGTTGTAGTTGCTGGGATTTATAGTTCACCTACAATCAAAGAGCATTCTGAACTCCACCAATGATGGAATTGAACCAAACTTGGCACACATAACTCCCATGACTAACAGAAAATACTGGAAGGGTTTGGTGGGGGATTGACCTTGAATTTTAGAGCTGTAGTTCACCTACATCCAGAGAACACTATGGATTCAAACAAAAGTAGATCTTAACCAAACTTGGCATAGATAATATGCCCAAATGTGAACACTGGTGAAGTTTTTTAGGAAATAGACCTTGACATTTGGTAGTTGTAGTTGCTGGGATTTATAGTACAATCAAAGAGCATTCTGAACCCTACCGATAGAATTGGGCCAAACTTCCCACACAGAACCCTCATGACAATTACAAAATACAGTTTTTTTTCCTGATGGTCTTTGGCGACCCCTTTGAGACCCCCTCGTGACCCTCCCAAGGGTCCCGATCCCCAGGTTGAGAAGCACAGGCTAAGTTGGTTGTGAAGCAACTGGACACTGAACACTTGTATTCTGCTTTAGGCCTTGGTCAAGATACAGAAACAGGGAATAATAATAATAATGCATTCTGATGACAATGTATAACAATGTACTGTATCTGGCTCCTTTCGCAACCAGTTGCTGTGGGTTTTGTGGGTCTTTGTGTTGTCGGGACCAAGATCTTGCTTTCCCGAGTCCCTTCCTCCTGGCTGGAAATGGATCCCTGAACCCTCATCTATTATTGATTGCATTATAACATTACCTTATAATAATAATCACCAGCCCCGCGATATTGAATTGCTTCTGATGGAAATAACACAATCATAGAAGCAGAATTATAGTCCAATAAAGTCATGGAAAGAAGTAGTTTAATAATAATAGTAAGGACCTGCAGAAAGCGTCAATAATGTTCATACCAATATTTTAAGTATCAATCTCAATATGATTAATAATAAATACCACTATTATTATTATTATTATGGACTTAGGACTCTTCTCATAGAATCAAAGAGTTGGAAGAGACCTGATGGGACATCCAGTCCAACCCCATTCTGCCAAGAAGCAGGAATATTGCACCCCTGACAGATGGCCACCCAGCCTCTGTTTAAAAGCTTCCAAAGAAGGAGCCTCCACCACACTCCGGGGCAGAGAGTTCCACTGCTGAACGGCTCTCACAGTCAGGAAGTTCTTCCTCATGTTCAGATGGAATCTCCTCTCTTGTAGTTTGAAGCCATTGTTTCGTGTCCTAGTCTCCAGGGAAGCAGAAAACAAGCTTGCTCCCTCCTCCCTGTGGCTTCCTCTCACATATTTATACATGGCTATCATACCCCCTCTCAGCCTTCTCTTCTTCAGGCTAAACATGCCCAGCTCCTTAAGCCGCTCCTCATAGGTTTTGTTCTCCAGACCCTTTATCATTTTAGTCGCTCTCCTCTGGACACATTCCATATGTCTGTTTCATATTCAGAAACAGACATTTTAATGAAATTGGAATGCCATTTGTGAGACGTCCATGAACTACCACTCCCACTTGCTTAACTACAACTCCCATAATGACTAGTATGAGTTGGAATAGGGAACAGGAGAAGCAAAAATGCTAAGAAAGATACAAAGACTCTGAGCTGAGGACCTGGGCTGGGATACAGAGCCAAAGCTCGATGCTAGGAAGTTGGGGGTTATGGGATTTGTAGTCTTTTGAAAAATTGAAAAAGAGAGAGCGAATATACACGCAGAAATACGGTAGTGGGTGTTGGCCCCGCCCATTTAGGCCCCGCCCACTGCTGGTCTGGGGCCAGGAAGGTTCTTAAAGGGAGAGCACAAGATAAAGGAGAGGAGGCGGCTGTGCCTCCTCCTCCTCCTCCTCTCAAGAGGAACACAGGCCTCTTCAAGGCTTTGAGGGGATTGAACACTAAAGTAAATAAAGCAAGAGTGTCGCCCACTGGCCTGAGGCTCCTGGGTGGATCTACACCGGAGAATGGATGCGGTTGGGCTAGCACCACTTGAATTGCCCTGGCTTACCGCTCTGCAATAGTAGTAGTAGTATATTTCCCCAAAGTTTCCTGACATTTCATGGGGAGGGAGGGAGAGGATGTGAAAATGGGGAGGGAGAACTCGAGGCAAGGCCCGGAGAGAGAGGAGGGACTCCTGGGAGAAGGAGTGGCAGGAAGGAAGAAAGGGGGGAAGGAAGGAAAGAAAGTAAGAAGGGAGGGAGGAAAGAAGGAAGTGGAGAAGGAAGAAAGGCAGGGAGGGAAGAAGAAAGGAAGAAAAGGGAGGCAGGGAGGGAGGAAAGAAGGGAGGGAGGAAAGGAAGAAAAGAAGGAGGGGAGGGAGGAAAGAAGGAAGGAAAGAAGGGAGGGATGAAAGAAGGGAGGAAGAAAAGGGAGGGAGGGAGGAAAGAAGGGAGGGAGGGAGGAAAGAAGGGAGGGAGGGAGGAAAGAAGGTAGAAAGGAAAGAAGGGAGGGAGGAAAGAAGGAAGGAAGAAAAGGAAGGGGAAGGGAGGAAAGAAAGAAGGGAGGAAGGAAGGAAGTAGGAATGGAAAGAAAGAAGGAAGAAAGGCAGGAAAGAAGAAAAGAAGGAAGGAAGAAAAGGAAGGGGGAGGGAGGAAAGAAAGAAGGGAGAGAGGGTGGAAAGAAGGAAAGAAAGAAAGAAGGAAGGAATGATAGGAAAGAAGGAAGGACAAGAGAAAGGGAATTAAAAGGAAGGAAGTATGGGAAAGAAGGAAGGAAAGAATGGAAGATGAAATGAAGGAAGGAAAGGAACTAAAAATAAAAGGAAGGGGAAAGATAGTAGGAAGGAAAGGGAGACAAAAAGGAAGAAGAGGAAGCAAAGAAGGGGAAAAGGAAAGAAAGGGAGGGAGGGAAAACGCGAGAGAGAAGGAAAGGAAAGAAGGGATGAAGGAATGGAAGAGGGATGCGAAGGAAGGGAAAGAGAGAGAAAGAAAAGAAAGACAGAAAAAAGGAGAGATAGAGAAAATGAAAGGAAGGAGAAAGAAGGGGAGGAAGGAAGGAAAGAAGGGAGGAAAAAAGAGAAAGAAGAATGGAAGCAAAGAAGGAAGGAGGGAAACGAGAAAGGGAAGAGGACGAAAGAAAGAAGGCGAGGGAGGCGGGAAGGGCAGGCTGTAGCCGGGGTTCCCCGCGCGAGGCTCTTCCTCTCTCCGGCGCGGAGACCCACGCAGGCGCGCCTTCCTCTCCCTTCCCTCATTCACACACACACACAAGAGAGAGAGAGAGAGGGAGAAACACGCGCCCCTCCCCGGCCCCTCCCTCCCTTCTCAACTCTCCTTCTTCCTCCTCCTCTTCCTCCTCTTCTTCCTCGACTCCCTCCATTCCTCCTCGGATCGCGCGGGGAGCAGGACCGGCGCCGGGCTCGCTCCTTGGCTGCGCCTTGTGTGTGTGTACGCGTGTGTGTTTGTGGGGAGGGTCTCCTTCGTCTTCCATCCATCTCCCCCCTTCTCCTTCTCCGTCTCCGTTTCGTGGCCTTTCCCCCTAAAAGAAAAGGAGTGGAGAAGAATCGCGAGAGGGCGGAGGAGAAAGGAAGCCAGGAGCAGAAGCAGGATCCAAGATCGGAACCCGGAGCCGGTTCAGTGGGGAGGGGACACTGACCCACACACTCTCCCCCACCAAGGCGAAGGGAGCCGGCAATTGACGCAGTGGCGGCCGAAGGATTTGACGGAGAGAGAGAGAGAGAGAAAGAGGAGGAGGAAGAGGAAGAGGAGGAGGAGGAAGAAGACGAAGGCTCGCCCGCCCGCCTCCCGCGAGAGGAGGAGGAGGAGGAGAAGAAGAGAGGGAGCGCGCCAGGCAGCCAGAAGGAGGAGAGAGAAGAAGAGCAGGAGCCGGTTCTCTCCTTCGTGGAGGCAGGTAGGAAGAGCCGGCGGTTCGATTTTGCTATGATGATGGTGATTTCAGGGCGCAATTGTCTCTTTCTTCCTCCTTTCCTTCTCAAGATAATCCCCTAATTCCTCTTGGTGGGAAGGGGAGGGGGAGAGGAAGAAGGTTTCCACCTTGGTTGTGTCTCCTGAAGAGTGGAAGGGAGGCATTGTCGGAAACCCAACAGAGCATGGAGGGCATGCTTTGCCTTCTCCCCAGAACACACACCCCTCTCCGGAGCCATTTGGAGAGAGACTTCCACGAAGGCACACACACACAGAGCCATTCTCCACGCAGGGCTGGACTGTAAAGAGTGGGCTGTTTGGGGGAGACGGAGCATGATTGAGGGGATTGAGGGGACCCACCTCTCTCCTTTCCCTGCCTCAAAGCCAACTCGCCTCTCTCCTTCCCCACCAGACTTGGCGGCTCCCAAACTTTTCAGTGCCCAGATCAGGACTTTTCGTTCTGGGGGGTGCTCCAAGGGCTGTGGAAATTGTGGGGGGCTTAGCTCGCCTTTGTAGGCATCCTTTCTCTCCCCTCCCCACTACCAAAACGGAGTCTGGATTGAAGGAGTTACTCTCAGGAAGCTGCGAAGGGAATGGAGTCAGTTTCAGCACCGAGGAGAGCTGGACAGCTCCGCCTGAGCGGAGTGGCTCTCCATCCCTTTCCCAACCGATTTCTACTATTTTAAAGGACAGAAGGGAGGGAGGGCTCTGGAATTATTGAACTCCCTTCCCTTGCTATCTCTCCCCACCTTTTTCCCCCTTAGTTCCCTGACTGGTTAGCCTTCCAATAGCTTCCCTGCAGAAGGAACTTCCAGAGTTGCCCAATTTACTTCCATCATTTGAGAGGAAAGAAATCTATCTTCTCTCAGTTCTTGCGGGTTTTTTCTGGCTATATGGCCATGTTCTAGAGGCATTTCAGAGGATGCTTGCCATAGATGCAGGCGAAACGTCAGGAGAAATGCCTCTAGAACATGGCCATATAGCCCAAAAAAACCCACAAGAACTGAGTGATTCCAGCCATGAAAGCCTTCGACAATGCATTAAATCTATCTTCTATCTATCTATATATAAAATGCTCTGTGCATAATGAGTAGCTTAAAAACAAAAGAACCAATGAACGAAATCACCCCAAATTTGGCAACAAAAGTCTCACAACACGTCTCAAAAAATTATGATTTTGTCATTTGGGAGTTGTAGTTGTTGGGATTTATAGTTCACCTACAATCAAAGAGCATTCTGAACTCCACCAACGATGGCATTGAACCATCGTTCCCCTGACCAACAGAAAACACTAGAAGGTTTTTCCGGGCTATATGTCCATGTTCTGGAGGCAGTTTTTCTCCTGACGTTTCGCCTGCATCTATGGCAAGCATCCTCAGAGAGACCTCAATACCTCTGAGGATGCTTGCCATAGATGCAGGTGAAATGTCAGGAGAGAATGCCTCTGGAACATGGCCATATAGCCCGAAAAAACCTACAGCACACAGTTCTCCCATGACCGACAGAAAATACTGGAAGGGTTTGGTGGGCAGTGTCCTTTGGTTTTGGAGTTGTAGTTTACCTACATCTAGAGAGCACTGTGGACTCAAACAATGATGGATCTGGACCAAACTTGGCACGCATACTCAATATGCCCAAATATAAACACAGATGGAGTTTGGGGGAAATAGACCTTGGCATTTGGGAGATGTAGTCACTAGGATATATAGTTCACCTACAATCAAAGAGCACTCCGAACCCCACCAACAATGAAATTGGGCCAAACATCCCACACAGAAAATTCTGTGTTTTCTGGTGGTCTTTGGTGACCCTTCTGATACCCCCCTGGTGACCCCCCCCCCCCCGGGTCTTGACTTCCCAGGTTGAGAAATGCTGCCTTAAGGCCATCCAGTCCAACTCCCTTCACCAGGGCAAGAAAACATAATCAAAGCCCTCCTGACAAAGGGCCATCCAGCCATTCACACACACACACACATGTATATGACAGATTGCAGTATCAAAGATTTGAAAGGGACCCCTAAAGAAGGACAATTATATGTTGCATGTTCCAGAGTAGGCAAACCAGACAATCTCCACATCAACACTGGCAAACAAACAGCAAGAAATACTGTTTGCCAACATGCATAAAGACATTACATATATTAGATACCAACACTTTTTCATCACTTTATTTTCCGGATCACCAGACTGGGCCACAGCAACGCGTGGCAGGGGACTGCTAGTATAAATAAAAATGTAATGTTCGTTTGTGGGATTAACATAACTCCAAAACCACTGGCTGAATTGACACCAAATTTGGACACAAGACCAACAAGTGACCATCACTCATAAAAACACTGAAAAACACAGTGGAAGGGACTTAAAAAGCCAAAAATGTTTTACAATGCATGCACAAAGCCACACACACACATACACATATACACACACATGCAAACACACATATATACACATGTATGCAAATACACACACACACACATACAGGTATATATATACACAGAACACATATACACAGACTGGACCGCAGCACTGCATGGCAGGGGACGGCTAGTAATAATATAAAAATTATATATTATATATCACATGTAATATTACTAATATATACACACATATGCAAACACACATATATACACAAATATATATATACACACACACACACATATATATACATACACAAAACACATATACACAGATGGACCTCAACAATACATGGCAGGGGACGGCTAGTAATAATATAAAAATTATATATTATATATCACATGTAATATTACTAATAATATTTCAGTATAGTGGTATAGTACAATATAATAGTAATATTGTGCTATGCTAATAATATAAAATATTGTGTGTACATATAACTTGTAAGCTGCCCTAAGTCCACTTCAGGGTGAGAAGGGTGGCATATAAACATCGTAAATAAATAAATAAGAAAGGAGGAGGGGGTTTCTACGATTATTTAATCCCCTCCCTTTGTTATTTCACCCCCCCTTTTTTTTTTTACTCTAAGCTTCCTGACTGGTTATTCTTCAAATAGCTTCCTCGCAGAAGGAAGGAAAAGACAACTTAAGAGTTGGCCAACCTATTATTTTAGGGGAAAGAATGGGGGGTCTACAATTATTTAATCCCCTCCCCTGATTATCCCCTCCCCTCATTTTTTCCTTAGCTTTCTGACTGGTCATCCTTCAAACAGCCTCCTCGCAGAGCATAGAGTTGGCCAACCTATTTCCAACCTATATTCCATTATTTTAGGGAAAGAAAGGTGTTGGGGGGGGGGGTGGTGTTCAAGTATTTATTCCCACCCCAAAGGTCAATATTTCCCCTTCCCCAATGCTTTCACTTCCTTATCTTATCTCCCTGACTGGTTGTCTTGCATGCCTTCAATAGCTTCCATATAGCAGGGTCGACTTAGGGTTGGCCAACCTATTCCCAACCTATTTTCCATTATTTTAGGATAAAGAAAAGTTATGGGGTTTTTCAACTATTTGTTCCCACCCCCAAAGGTCAATATTTCCCCTTCTCCAATGCTTTCACATCCATGTCTTACCTCCCTGACTGGTTGTCTTGCATGCCTTCAAGTAGCTTCCATATAGCAGGGCGACTTAGGGTTGGTCAACCTATTCCCAACCTATTTTCCATTATTTTAGGGTAAAGAAAAGTGGTGGGGGTTTTCAACTATTTATTCCTACCCCCAAAGGTCAGTCTTTTCCCTTCCCCAATGCTTTCGCCTCCTTGACTTACCTCCCTGACTGGTTGTTTTGCATGCCTTCAAGTAGCTTCCATATAGAAGGAAGGCAACTTTGAGTTGGCCAACCTATTCCCAACCTATTTTCCTTTATTTTAGGGTAAAGAAAGATTATGGGGGTTTTCAACTATTTATTCCCACCCCCAAAAGTCAGTCTTTCCCCTTCCCCACTGGTTTCACCTCTCCTTACCTCCCTGTCTTACATGCCTTCAAGTAGCTTCCTCATAGAAGCAAGGCGACTTAGGGTTGGCCAACTTATTCCCAATCTATTTTCCATTATTTTAGGGGAAAGAAAGGTGATGGGAGTTTTCAACTATTTATTCCCACCTCAAAGGTCAACATTTCTGCTTCCCCAATGCTTTCGCCTCTTCATACCTCCCTGACTGGTTGTCTTGCATGCCTTCAAGTAGTTTCCTCATAGAAGGAAGGTGACTTAGAGTTGTCCAACCTATTCCCAACCCTTTTCCATTACCTTCAGGAAAGAAAGGGGGGTCCACAACTATTTCACTGCATCCCCAAATGTCAACTTTCCCCCTCTTTAGATATCCCCCCCCCCTTTAAAAAATATTTCTTGGCTCTTGGTTGGTTATCCTTCAAATAGCTTCCTCACAGAAGGAAGGCGAGGGAAACTTAATGGAGTTGGCCAACCTATTTCAATCATTTTAGGGGAAAGGAATGAGGGGGGGGTCTACAACTATTTACTTCTACCCTCTAAGGTCACTCTTTGGCCTCCCCCACCCCTTGCTTGGCTCCCTGATTGGTTATCTTGCAGTAGAAGGAAGGTTAAGTCAACTATTGTCCTCAAGAATCTACCCTGACTTGGGCCTAAAGGGTTTTTTGGTCCCTCCAAGGTGTATCTTGGCATCTCTTGGGGCCAAAGGCAGGAGATGGAGCTCAGCAACCCAAGCAAAAGTCTCCAAATGGGAGCAATTCGGTTCCAAGGAGCCCAAGCTCTGTGTTCAGGGAATAATCCGCCGAATGTGTGTAAATGGAAGGGGTGGTTCACTCTGATATGGTCTAGTTTTGCGCTTTGGGGTCTCAGAAGAAAGGAAGGGAGAAGCCTATCATTTGGAGGGTGAAGAGAGGAGGGTTTTGGGTCCTGAAACAAGGCTCGAAATCTTCCTGGCAGGTTAACTTGCACCTTAAATAAAGCTGTTTACTGATCGCCGGAGAACTTGTCGAAAATGATGAATGACCCTGATTGTTAAAGTATCTTGCACAGAGAGAGACTGAGAGAGAGAAAGAGA